CCTGATACAACGCGCCGTAATACTAACCGCATACTAATAGGAACCCTTTGACGAAAAGCTAACATCTCTCAGCGGGTAAACCGCGCTGCAATTCCGGTCGGGCCACTCCCGGTCTCCTCCACCGACGCGGCGGCCTCTCTTCCTCTGTCTCCATCACGGTCCACTATCCGGAATCGATTGCCTGGAGTGGCCCCTTCTTCTCGATGGATTCGTAATAGATTCCACCGGCGAGGTAGTACAAACGAAGAACATCCGTCGCACACACGAAGATCGGCGACAGATAGTTATTATTCGCAGCGTTTGATTTCGCGAGAGAGCAAGAGATTTTCGCTGGTAGTTTATGGAAGCTTACAAAGGAAACAAAACATAGAGAATTGCTTGCTTCACGAACAATTAATCTTCGGTAAGTTATTAAGTTACACTTTATTGAAACCTCGCGAGTTATTTTTACCCGAGAGTTCCGAGCAAAATCGATCGCCGCCGATTTGTCACGATTCGAGCGTACAACTGTATTGGACTTCGTTTTCCCGTTAAGCTTCCAGACTCAGAAGAAGCGATTGGTTCTTTCTTAGGTAACGGCGAATGTCGCTATGTGCCAAATAGCAATCGATTTAGAGCTGTTAAGAGTCATGATTACCCACGGCGCGAGTGGGCGTTGGAAGGACCGTACTTCCGAGTCGACACAAATGGATGGTAAAACGTTTCCGCCGCCCGCGTGGAGAATTCTGATGAAGCTGCGGCAATGAGAATAAGCGCGGAAACTGATGTAAAATATGCAAGACGGCCTATCGTGGATGTTTAGTATGCGATTGAAAATTGTAGGAAGTCGCTCCTAACCCGTTCGGTGCCGAGCTCGAGAATATTCGGGTATGCAAATTCTCCCGATGAAGCCAGCACGAGCATTCTCGACCGTTGCGTTTTTCGTGTTGTTTCTCGATCCTTGCACGCGGTTCCTCCAGAAGATGAAATTTATATTCGCTAATATATAGCATTTCCCCGAAATGTTTCTAAAATCTTATCCGGCTTATTATGCTTCTTACATTCTTTTTAATATTCTCATATTTTTTTATCTTAAAGCTTCCCGACTCAAGAATAATATTCAAGGAGATATAATAAACGTATTTTAATATATTTAAGAGGTACTTTTTATGATTACTTTTATGAACATTTTTGCTACTACAAGTTGTAATTATTCTCACTTCTTTTCATCAATTATTCGAGGCCAGTAACAGCAATTTCGCAAATCTCGTAATTTTTGCACTCGTAATAAAAGCGTGTGTTGTATAATATCACGCTTAAAAAAAAGGGGAGATGCGGGAAACTTTATTTCACTTGACGTAAAACATGGCAACTGGCAAAATTGCAAACTAAATTCAGTATTTTTTATGGGTGAAGACATGTCTGCGGTTGACGCCGAATGCGAAGTGCGCGTTTGGCGAGAAGGGCATAGAAACGGCACGTATCCGGTTTGCTGCATTAACGTGATTCCAGTATAATCACGCGCGATACATTTGTAATAATGAATGAATTTACGAGAGAATAGCAGTTTCCGTCGTTATTCATAAGCGCGTTTCTCGTTGAAATTTCAACAAAGTCCGTTGTTTTTGTCTGACAAAAATAATCTCGCGTTTCATATAAAATGCATGTTACCGCAAAACCCACATTTAGCATTACGGTATTGGATTACGCTTTCTGGATCTATCACATTTCTTTTACACATAAAAAAAAACAATAAATATAAATCCAGTGAAATCTATAGTCATGTAGTACTTCACAATTTTCGCAAAAACAAGATTTAGAAATACGGCAATGTAAAATAATTATAAATAAGATTTTATAATTTTAACATTAAAATATATTTCTAAATTTTCTAGTTTAAAGAATTAATGCGTTAAATTAACGTTAATATTATGATTATAATATGGTTATGTTATTTTATCAATCGGAATAAAAAATTTATTATATCTTGCTACTGTATTATTGTAATCTGTATGTGGATTATAATAATACATATTAATATATTTTAATAAATGATAGAATTGTAGCAAAATATAAATAGCAGCAAATAGCAGCAAAATTACATACAAATTTAAGATAAGTTTCTTAAGAATTATTAATTTTCTTTCCTGATGTATCAATCGATTATCAGATAAAAATAAGAACAAAAATTAATTTTTAAAATAATGATAATTATAATTAAAATATTACAATACATGTATAGTAACACATTTATAGAAAAAAAAAAAACATTTCTGAAATAAGCCATGTAATTAGGCTGTGACAACAATAATAACAATAAGAATAATAATGATAGAAATAATTTTTTGATGACGTTATACTCGGGCACTCGATATATATTAAATCAATGATAAACAGCTTCGCAACGAAGATAATGAAGCATCGCGCGCTCGGATGATCAGAATAGATAAGTGTACAATTCAAATCTGCTGCATTTCGAGTCGTTCTGTATTCGGCGCCGCGTAAATACATCTGCACGAGAGACAACGACAGCTTCATCCGGCGGATTGTGGAGGCGGGAGAGAGGCGAGGGAGGGGGGAGAGGGGGCAGATCGAAAAATCTGTTTTGTCCTGCGGGATCGATCGGCCGGAACGCGGCCCGACACAATCGCCAGGCGACCGGATGCGAGCGCGCCGAAATATGGTAAAGGACTAAAACTGCGATTACACGCGGGATAACGGGCGCGAGGTCGAGAGTTTCGCGGCGCGGATAATCGGGCGCGCGCATTCTGGCGACGCGACGCGACGCGACGCGACGTGCGCCGACGAGTCGATAGGATTACCTGGCCGTCGACACGACAAAACCGACCATCGGCCGTGGCTGTCAGCACGTCAGTCAGGCTTTACTTCGCCGCGTTTATTGTCCGTTTATTAATTTATGACCACGGTCCGGATGCGATTGTTTATAGCGCGAAATGTTCCGACGCCCCGCGCGCACGTGGCTGAGCCATTCGGCATATCGTTAAACGGACAATTAATTCTACTACAGATTATTTCGAGGATCTTATCATTAAAGAAATATACACGACGTATGATGGGTTTAATCTGATGAAATTAACGAAAACTGAAACAGCATCATCGAGGATAATAATAAAAAAAAAAAAAAAAAAAAAAAAATACGAGAAGTGCGTATTTATAGAAATGCAGACAAAAGGGACTTAAAGAAATACGCGTGCGAAAAAGGTCCGAGTAAAAGGATTAATATATCTATCACGACGTGATGGTTCGCGCACACGAATTGGCAGATGAATCACGGGGGAAACGAAATAAGACGTGCGAAAAAGACTGGACTAGTCTACTGCATTATGATAATGACGTTGCGTACGAGCAAATATCCCCCGGATGGAAAGACGTGACGAGCCAGGCCGGGTTTGGGTTGCCATCCATCGGCGAGTAATCGTTAAACGCATCATCGACCGTGTGACAAACGGCCGGCGGTTCGTCGGCCGTGTGCGCAACCGCGTATAATTAATGCAAGCGATCCATTCGTCAATCGGACGCGATATCCATCTACGCGTTGCTAATGAATTCCGCGATCATCGTCTAACCGCTTCGACGCGCGTTTCGACAGCAGGCACGATGGATTCTCTCGCTTGGGAGATAAAAGTGATTGCGTGGAGGATCGGTTTGCAGAATATTTCTCAGAATTTTCCTTTCACATTCGTATTCCATCTCAATATCCAGCCTTTTCGACACTGATCCTATTTGTATATCTATTTTCTGTACTTTGCAGAAATTTATTACTTGCAAAAAAAAATTGAACATTTATTAACACGACGTTCTAGACAATTCATTTGTAAATCGATAATTCGCTGATCTATACAACTTCTTTCTCTCTTTTTTTATCTCATCATTGCTATAGAAATATTATTATTATCGTGACTCCGAAGCAATTTATTAGAAATTAATCATATTAGATATTACGTCTATCACGTTTATAGATGAAATGTCAGGCGTGAAAGGCGACGCGTACCTCACCGACTGTTTTTCAATGTTTTCGCGGTCTGCCTTGTTATCATACAGTACACACGCCATAGCATTGCGATAAATTACCACGAGGTTGGTAATTATTTTGACCTACGTGGGCAATAGATATTGTGTTTGACTCATTAACTCGCTGAGAACACTGTAATGAAATTTATGAGCCTATTAAAAATCTCCGCCTAATATCCTTCAGAATGCAGAAATTTTTTTAAGCAGATACGTTCCCAATGATACGCAATACTTTGTTGGATGTTCATTTTCTCGCTGATATCATTGCTCAATTATTATTATTCCATTATTTTGATAATTTTGTGACAAAATATCACATAATAAAAAGAACAATTAACTAACTTATGTAAAATTGAGTATAAGTTAATTTGATCATTCACAAACAATAATATAAAGACATAATTATATTAAATATTCTCTCTCTTTGAATTTATCTGATAATTTAATCTGCTTTTTAATTACTTGATAGTAAACTGATTTATTTCTATAGGTCAGATTGATGTGTGTATATGTGACGTGTAGTTTTCGTTATTTTCTATTTATGGGTAATTATTATACGCTGCATCTTTTATTACTTATTTAAAAGAACAATAGACAAGCACCACTTGAAGAATGCTATTTTCGATTCCCATTATTTACAGCGACAGAACATCAATTAAAGCCACAAAAAGCTTCCTCCAATCGATCGTTATTTCCAAGCAATTAATTTTATGGTCGCTGCAAATTAGTACTACTACTACTACTAGATTGAACGTTAATTAACTAGCGCATGTCAATATTCGCACAGTAATATTTGAGTTTTAAACTTTTTAGGAGTTTATATATAAAAATTTTATATTTTTTCATCAAATTTTTACATAAAAAATTAATAAAAAATCTGTATAATTTATAAAAAAAAAAGGCTAATAAAGGCTCTTTTTATACGTAGTCTTAAAAATAATTTGTAATACTGAATGTCATTGTTATTAATTCGATTGATTCGCGATAATTCGTGGTTTTCTCGAGAAAATCCGCGTGGAATCAATTCTCTGTGCCATTACGGAACCGAGTATTCGGATACGATCCGCGGAGATGTACTTATTCGCGAAAACGAGCATGCTTATCGCAGCAGTGAGAGGAGAGAGAGCAATTTCATGAGTTCGGTGCCGTGGTTATTCGCGTGTGCACGAAAACAGTCGATGGCCACGGCGCGATAATGGAATTTAATAATACGATGTACGTCCTCTCTCTTTCCCCCTCTCTTCTGTCTCGGTGGTCTTCTCTCCTTCTCGCTTCCATCGTCTTTCAGTTTCTCCTCCTCGCAGCGATGCGGCGCGGCACCGTCGAGCAAGTGCACGGGTATGTCGGGGCAAGCGCGCTCACTGGCTCGGTTCGTCGGTTAATTAGCCATTAAATATCAAGCAGCCGGCACGAGACTGCACGCAGATGGTATTTCGGATCAGTTAGGGCAGTTAGCAATGGGCAATTACGGATAATAAACAGACTGCGCGACTGCGGCAGCGAACGGCGCGCGTGGCGTGTTGTACGAATGGTCCGGAAAGCCGAGTTGCGCTTGTATGGTGCACAGATCCGTAAAACTCGAAATATACCGTGAAATAAGGGATTTTTGATATTCAAAAATTTTGATATTTTGTCTCCAAATATTTCTTCTCCTCAAAAGTTAAAAGCATCGTAAACTGATAAAAGAGTAAGGCCAAAACCGTTGAAAAAAAAACTAAAAAATGTTTAAATTAAAAGCGTGAAAAACTAAAAGAAAAACGAATCCAAGAATATTTATAATGTGTTGACAATCCAATTTCACAGATCTATCTTGTTTAAATCTGATATATTCGTACATGTCATATTTCTTCGTACAAAACGAATATTGAGCGCACCACAAAAATACCCACGCTTCATGAACATGGAAATTCGGAATCGAGGATACATTTGTGATAATCATTTTGCATTCGTTTCAAGGGAGATTAATTAATCGGCACGCCCGAAATATCGGCCTAACTGGATAAATCATTAGCATTAATATTTCATTATTCCCGTGTACTGCATGCGCGCGCGCACGCTATCTGGCTACCCAGATTGAATTCAGTTAAATGTGAAAATCGTCCTGTTTGGAGTTTTCTCGGATTTACTGTATTCGACAAACATGTTCGATGTCGAACGTCACTGATCGCGATTCGAGCAAGTGATCGATTGCGCCGCGCTGATTTTCTCTTACCGTAACAAAAATACATTCAAGTAAAGAGTAACAATAATTGCAGTTCCATCGTTAGTCGTATCTCTCATTTATTTACGATTTATAAAAAACATTACATTTAATACAAAAATATTGTAAATTATATAAATTGTATACGTATCAGAATAAATGAAACAATTATGTAATAAATCAAATATTGTAATTTCCATATTTTCGAAATTTAGAATGTAAATTCATTCTCTTATCAGCTTCAACTTAATCTGCTAATTATTTGAGTTGTTAAATCTCCAATTATTGCATTAATTTTCCTGCAATTGTATTCGTTCATTTTTATACAAATAGCATATTTACTTGAATGTAAATTGCACTCATTATAAACAGGTTTCCGGATTTAATATAAAACGCCTAACTGCTACTTGCTTGTACCAGGCCGTATATATATATATATATATATATATATATATATTAATAATATTAATAGAGCACATGTGAAACAAACTTTTTCTTACCTTTGATAGGTTGCTTGAGGTCCACCCGGTGTCACGGTGGCGGTCGTGTTTTGTGTGGCAAGCGCGAGCTTTTGCTGTCGATGTTGGAACATCTGCCTGCTGAAGACCCCGTATCCGAAGCCATAGATTTCATCCTCCTCCTTGTCGCTGAGGCAGCTCGAGGGCTGCACAAAAATGGAGATCGTTCGCTCTTTTCCTCTATCTATACGGGGCGGCGGATTTTGCTTGCGAAGCAGTACCAACTACCACTTACGTTATAAGTGGGAGAGAGCACGGAGATGTATTAAGAACTCGTTACATAGGAGCAGTGTGTTTGTTGTGCCGCGGAATTTTACGAGACAGCGTAATTGCATATGGTTTAATTACGTTGTTCGAGACGACAAATTCAACAATGATTTATCAATTATACATTTTCATATCGTGTCTAATAAATAAAGCACAGATTTTTAATAATGCAAAATATAAAAATCGAGAAAGAGAATTAAGTGGTACTTTGATTGATTAAACTAATAAAGGATCGAGCAATCATTTTCGCGTTTAATCAAAACGTGATACTCCGTGAGACGAGTAACTTCTATATTAATTTTACAAATCGACACGTCATTGATCTTCGAAGTAGCGTGACCTTAATTGACAATCGATTGCTCACGTTTGAAAACTCGATTAGCTAGTTAGGAAGGAAAGACTAGGTAACGAACAATAATCGATTTAAGCTGGAATCGATAGGGTCTACATGGTTAATCGCCTTAAAGCACTTTGGAAAGTTGCTTACGAAGGAGCCACGAATCCACCAATACAAAGTGTTTGAATTTCCATGAAGGACTCCCCGTAAAATCTTCCTTTAACTGAGCATTTTATTCAAACGTACAAGAAATTCTAATCATAATATTTAAGAAAATACTTATTCAGTTACAAATCATATTTCGATATGTACGAAGATTAAGTTTTATGTTCATTATATTAATTATTATCAAATATTCTCTGGATGCACACTTGTATGTTTCGTTGAGTAAATTGTTGAAATGAAATTTTATTCTTATGAATACGTTCGTATTTCATCGATTGTTCCGTATATACGCGATTGCCTGTGTCTGACAATTTTCTTCGTGACAAAATTGTCTCCGCCCGTCGGAAAAAGAGACAAATGCTCGTATCGAATCAACTGAACGTGTTCTTCTCGCGAGTTCTGTCCCTTCGAAAGCAATTTGGCGAAGTGTCAGGGGAGTACAGTAATAAGAAGAAATCGCGGCGATAGACAAGCTACTATATGTCACCCTATAACCGCATTATGCCGTCCGCGAAAGCAATAAAAGAAGAGAATCGACGTCCGAGAAGGGTGGCAAATAAAAGCGAATATGAGGGATTTGCTCACCGAGTATTTTCCGGGCACGTAAATGGGCTGTGAATGACTGGTGGTGAGCTGAGTGTTGGGCATTCGGGCGGAAGCGTTTGTTTCTCGTCGGCGTAGCTCCTCCAACGGTTCCAGGACATCCCCGTAATGCGTCCTGAAGAGATCTGCATATCTTGAAGCGAGTCCTTCCAAATAGCCCCTCTCGCCCTCCTGTAACAGGCAACGTCGAAATCTTAGAAGTGGCGCAAAATATGCTTATACATATAAACATGTTCATTATTTTATGTGTCCTATATAATGCGAGTTAAGTAAATCCGAGTTAAGTAAGATTTTTTTACATAAAAATGGATGGTTTTATACTCGTTAAACAGTTATCATTATATAAAAAATGAATATCAGCTATATAATAAATATATTTTTCTGATTATATTAGTACAGCGTTGAAAATAATTAGCATATGATAAATAGATTCGTATAAAATGCATTATAATTTTCTTATCAATCGATGAATTAATAAATGACTAAATTTTTTAAATACTACTGTTATAAGATTAATTTACATTGGAAATATGAAACGTATTTAGATTAATTATTGAGTTTATTAATAAGAGCTGACAAAAGCACGCGATTTTCTCATATATTATAAATAATAACGAATGACCGACGTGTTATCTGAATAAATGGGGTAACTACATTGCACTGGTGCAGCTTTTCAATACGTTATCATAATATGTTATCATAATCATAACATGTTTAAACAAGAATAGACTTCATTTTGTCATATATACTGACTTTTTAGAAAAACAGAGAGTATCTGATATATTTAATATATAATACAATATACAATATGCAATATATACATTGTAATATATTAAATATATCAGATTCTCTCTGTTTCTCTTTTGGCAGCAATGACTTGCACATTCTACAATAAATTTATTTATGCTCAATTTAAAATAAGAAAAACTGTAAAAAGTGTAAGTCGTAAGAAAATATAAAAAGAATATGTTTTTCTACTATGCGATATATCAATTTCGGCGATATTAAATTAAAGAACGTAGAATTTCTTATGAGGTGAACTGATATTCTCGGAAACATCGTGCATAGAAAATATGTGTATGCATATACATTCTGTTTTTCGAAATCCAACCAGTCCAACGTGTCGACGTAGTGGTATATGATTCAACAAGGTAAGCGCACAGGCGGACGTGAGGGAAAAGTCAAACACGTCTAGGAAAGGACGTACGGTCCACGAGAAAAGGAAGAGAAGCGGACAACGGGAAGTAAGAAGGAAGCCGAGAGTAAGGATCGGCGTACGGCGAAGGTTGATGTCACATTAATATTTCAGGATTCCACTTCCGCCAACTCCCGATTCGACTCTCGGGCTCGTAGTAACCATGGAAGGGCTGTGTCCTTCCCTTTTATGGCAGCGAGGAGGAAGTAGAGGCGGAATAGTGAAAAGCGAGGGGGTGGTGGGCGCGGGGTGGATCGTGAAAACGGGAACGCTTTGTCTGGCGCAAGTCGCCTCCTATTTACACTTTAAGCGGCCTCCATCCATCCTCCGCCTCCGCCTGTCGTCTCTCCGCTAGGTGCCGGCAAACGATATTCCGCGGCTACCGCCGCGGTCGTCTCCCGGATTTAAATCCCATTTGTAAATATTCCCTTCGCGGCTGTGAGTGAATTACGTGGGAATTATGCCCGACGCGAAGAAGCGGTTCATCTTCTGCGCGCGCGCCCGCTCCAATTTCGCGAAAGGCGCCGACAGGTTTCACGCATACTTCGTCGACAAGTGCGCGACGCGTTTAATTTCTCAACAGCAAAATAAAGAAAACGTCTCTCTTGTATATATAATATATAT